CCTTCCAGCCCAAACCGTTCTGTGATTTCTGCTCGTGGCTGCCAGGCTCGAGCAGTGCTGTTTTCAGCACGTGTGCCTGCCGGTCTCGTGGAGCACCTGCAATGCGTTTCACAAACGAGAACAAACCCCATCTCCCCTGGGAGACGTGTGGCGGCTCCTCCGTCGAGCAGAGCAAGGACCTCAGCTGCTGCAACACTGCCAGGGAGGACAGCACGTCCTCCTTTTTGGGTCTCACCTGCACGCAGGGCCTTTAGTCACTTAGGCACAAAGAAGGGGAAAATTACATCACTTATGCGAAAAAAAAAAAAAGGGGAGGGGGGCAGGAAGAGAAAAAAAGGGAAAAAGGTGGGGAAAAAAAAGGTGCAAATTTCAGAGCATATTGGAGGTCACGTGGACAAAAAGTCATGCCTGGTAAAAAGGGAAAAAGATGTCCATCAGGGCGGGGGAGAGGCAGACAATAAATGGCACCAGTTGCTATCACTACTGGCATTGTTATCCTTGCTGTCAGCAGCAGAAATCCTGCTGGAAGAATGAAAAGCTTATCATTCATTTATGTAGAAATTAGGTTTTGACACAAATATTAGAAAATATTCTATCTTCCTGCTAAAGTTTTAAGAAATGAAATCTTCCTTGTCAGATCAATGAATTGTTTTGCTTCCTAATTTTTTAGCAGCACAGTGAAACCCAGGAACAGCCTGGAGGCGGGTCGCCTGGCCCTGGAAGGCGGGAGGGCCACCCTTACCTGTCCTCCTTTATCCTGGCCAGCAGCGGCTCGAGCCAGCCCAGGGTGCACTCGCAGTGCGCGTCCAGGAACGTTATCACCTGCCCTTTGGAGGCCGCTGCCCCTCGGAGCCGCGCGCGGATCAGTCCTGACCTCTGCTCCATCCGGATGATTTTTATGGAGACTTCCAGGTTTTTCACATAATTCTCCAATGAGGCCTTCAAAAACTCTGCCAGGGACAAACGAAGGAAAAAAACAAGACAAAACACAAACACTTTCAGCCAGGTTGGGCACCTCCCGAGGACACAACCACAACCGCAGAGCTCGTGGGTGACGCTGGGCGCGCCGAGGACGGCCACGCACCGACACGGCCGTAACACGGGAAGCGCGTTTTGACACGGAACACACACACACACTGTACACGGGGCATCTCACGAAAATACCCCAGAAACCAGGAGTCCCGATCCGTTTCCTTGCAATAAACCAGCAATCAATCCTGAGGGCAAAGTGATTACCCTTGTGCTACTTTGTCTGCGGTTAAAAACAAATGCAGCTTTTTGGGATGAATTTCACCATTTGAGCCCTTTAGGAATCCAAAACTTTGCTTTTAGGAAAAACTGGGGCTAAAGTCTTCCTCCACCTTCTGGCATAGAGAAACCCCAAGCCTATTCGTTTTCTGAAGGAGGGAAATCCAGGAGAGTAATTAATGCTACATGGGGTAGAAATAAAGGACAGCTTAGCTTGCATCCTCTGTCCCTTGCACCGTTGCAGCTACATGTTGTGTTCATGCAGCTGCATGTTCACCATTACATACATCTGGATACTCCAGGAAAATTTATCATTCCATTTGTAGAACACAATGTGATTCCCTTCCCAGGTAATACCGGTTTTACACGCAGATAGTTTGCTTTCTAAACCCTGGGTTCAAAAAGAAAGGGGGGAAAAAAAAAAAAAAGAAAAAGAAAAAAGCCCAGACCAAATGAAATGAATGACAAACACAGGCAATACAAGGAAATTGGCTCAGTTTGGATATTCAGGAAAACGCGAAACACAGAACGGGGGGGTTGACGTGGAAAAGGACTGTCTTTTACACCACTGTGAAATGATAAACCATTGTACAGACAAAATTGTGGATAGGAGCACCGTAGATACAACTTACAACCTGATAACAAACCTCCCCCTCTGTGACCACTTGGAAGTGTCCTCCAGCTCTGCCCGCACCTACCGGAGTCCACTTGCTGCCGGCTCCAGCAGCGACCGGAGACGCTCGGCGAGGCACGCGGGTCTGGTTCAGCCGTGACGCAGGCAGACACCCTTCACAGCCCCTTCTGCAGGATCCTCCCAACGCTGAAGGCGCTGAAACAGCACGCGGAACGGGACTCCCCTCTCCCCAGACCTACCTCTCTCGCTGGCATCGTCCACCAGGATGATTTCGGAAAGCAGGCGGTGCGGGGAGCGATTGATGACGCTGTACACGGTCCGAAGCAGCGTGCTCCAGGCCTCGTTGTGGAACACAATAACCACACTCGTGTTGGGCAGTTCGTTGGGATAGACTTTTGTCTTGCATCTGCCAAAAAATACAGAATACAAACAGAAGGAAAAGGAGGTTAATCTCTGAGAAAATCCCTAAAGAGCTCTACCAGCAGGACAGCCTGGAAAAGGGCTCCACGCCTGTTGAGCGGGACACATTTCAAACCGGTTACTCATCTCTTCCAGCTCCCAAGCCAGATGCCCGAAGGCAGAGGGAATTCCAAATCCCGTTTTCTGGCTAAGAAAACACAGCAGAGTATCCAGAGAAACACGCACGGCTGCGTTCACAGCTCCCGCGGACTCCGGCTCTCCTCGCTCTTGCTTGGTACACCCAGAAATCAGCATCCAGCAGCCCCGGTGCCAACATGTCCTGATGTGGCCACCAGAGAACTCCCAGAGGGACACAGGACGTGGGGCAACGAACATGAAGTGTATCCAGCGGTTACAGCGAGGTCAAATAAGGCTTTCACTATTGCAAATACTGAATTCTATGGTTTGAAGTATGCAGCCCTCTGAGACCAGGTTCCCATCAGTGTCAGCTCCTCAACAAGAAGGAAAAAATAGCTATTTGGTAGAACATTCTGTATGGCCATTCAATGGAAGAATGAGAGGTCGACAATTCCACGTATTTGTGGAAAAATGTAGAAATCAAGGCAAAGGGTGCAACAGATACCAAACACTGCTGATTCTGTGAAGGCAAATGAAAGCTATTTGCTTATTAGAAAAGACCCAAAATTCTGTATATCTGTTCCAGATCTTGGACAGACATCAAAAATACAAACACGCCTACATCATCCTGTCACCAGTTAAACACACCTAATATGGATTCTTAAGCACTGTGACTTAAAGTAATTTGCCCTTTCTTCCGATATTTTGCTATGGTATGATTTTCTGGCTCTTCTGTCCCCACTGTCACCCTGGTTGAGGGAAGCCCTTCCAGAAGGGACAGGCGAGTGTGTACGTACTTTCCTCAGCAGCAGCACACACACACTAGCAAAGTGAGAAGAAACATGTATAGCTTTTTAGCACATCTTCTTTGTAATACCACAAATCGGAAGCTTCCCTAAAATATTCTAGCTCAGTCAGTTATTCACTAGCGTTTACCCACCCTACATTCTCCGACTGTGACACGGGCCCAGCGTACCACTTCTGACTGTGGTGCCTGACAGATCAACCGCTCCCACTGCAGGGCGAGCTCAGGAGCAGCCCCCTCTTCACAGAAAACTTCTCTATCGAGGGCCAAGAGAACGAATGAACAAGGGCCCTGAAGAAAAGCCAGCTTGCCCATACAGTTTCTCTCTTAAATATCATCTGCCATAACAAAACTCTCTTTAACCTTTTCCTCTGCCTCACTGACATTTAGAGAAGGTAGATAAAGCAACAGCGCGACCACAGCTTTCAAAGTACAAGGGTAGGAGAGAACACAGAGGAATGCAGACTACCACTGATTTCTATGGCACAGGTGAAGGGGTCATGGTATGGGTGTATACACACAGCGATCTACGCATATATTTATATATATATATTTATTTATAGGTCACCGGTCACTAGATCTGACAACAGAAAGTCCAGTGCTAACAGATATATATATACATACACAGACACACACCTGTCTTGACATCATTTCGATGATGGCCACTGAAGCTTGCTGGCAGCCACCCCACCTTCACGATCTCAGCAATCTAATTAACGATACAACTATCCATCAACTATGAACTAGACTCAGAGCTCAGGCAAACAAATAAAAATCCTTTACTAACGATCATCCACCACGACACCCCTCTGTTTACCCAGAGGTGTCTAAAGGAGCATAACCCCAGCAGTATGTCCAAAAAAGGGCATTTTGAACGTATTTGTTTCCAAGGCATGGTAAAAACGTTTCCCTCGCACACATAATTGCCTTTGGAAGGCATCTCCTGTCAACCCTGTCATCTGAATGTCACACAAAGGCTGAAAACCAGGAAGGCTGTAGTACAAACCTCAGCGTATCAAGGAACAGAGAGTTTATCACCATGTAGTATGTGCCAGGATCTTCAGAACTTTATCATTCCTATTCTTCTCCCAGGTATCCAACGGTACCCAGAGAAGCGAAGGGCCAGGTGAGCTGAGCACACTCAGGAAGAGGTCCTGTGTCCTAGGTTTTGCAGCAGACAGACCAACCTAAATTATCTAAATGTATGTAAAGCTGTGCCAGGGGAGGTTCAGACCGGACACGAGGAAGCGTTTCTTTACCAAGAGGGTGGTCAAACCCAGGAACAGGCTTCCCAGGGAGGTGCTCGATGCCCTGAGCCTGTCAGCATTTCCTAGCACACAGCAACAGCACCGCTCCACGGGGAACCTGCCACGTCCAGCTCGGTAGTTAAAGGTGATGGAGATGAAGTAAGGAGGCAAGCAGGAGACACAGAGACTGAAACACCGACTGGTGTGAGGCTGAGACTGCTCTGGATGGGCAGGTTATGCCTTCACCGACATGCCTTTGCTCTCTGGCAGAAGCGAGATGTTGATTAGTTCTCACTAAACTCACTCAAAGCAGTTTTCACGAGCATCTGATTTACTCTAAACGTTAACCAACACAGACCAGTAATAACACAACCGTACGGGGGGTGTTTAATCACTATTCTTGCTCTCAAAGTCATTCCCGCTGCCACCCACAAGACGTGCAATGGCAATCAATCACAATCCACGTACCAACGTGACCAATTTGTGCCCTGCCCCTCACCTCACCCCTGGCTGCGCAGGGCCACGCTCCGAACCCAACGCTCATTACACCCCTCCAGGGGATGATTCACCTCTCGAAGGTGCCCCCACGCCCACCTCTTGGCCGGCTTTTCTGCACGGCCCGTGAGTGAATGCAGCGCACGGCCGGCCGGGGAGGTGCCAGAGATGGTGCAAGACCAGGAGGAGAAGGGCATGGCCAGGGGAGACCCAGCATACCAAAACCTCCCCGTTCCAGCCACAGGGGGCTGTTGTGTGCCACCCAACGGCCACACACGCTCCTCTCCTTTCCCTCACCGAGTTCAGCAGCAAATTGACAGCTTTCCGCTGTAGATCACCTTCTGCATCACCACGATGACCATGGGTACCGACCCAGGGACCATCTTCTGGGCTGAGTACCTCAGGATCACAGAATGGTTTGGGTTGGAAGGGACCTTAAAGGTCATCTAGTTCCAACCCCCTGCCCTGGGCAGGGACACCTTCCACCAGAGCAGGTTTTGGTGGAGGGCATCCTGCGAGAGGGGTAACGTCTTGGGGATCTGGGCGCTGTAGTGCCCCGTGTCCTTCCCCAGGGAAGGCTCAGTCGCCACCAACCCCCATCCTGCCCCAGCAGCACACCCCTCATGGTGTTCCAGCCCCAAACAGACGCTGGCCCAGCACTCTGCTCGCTCGTAAGCGTTCGCAAGCGCACGGAAGATAAAAACCTTTCATGTCCCTTTAATGAAACGGCTCACGCCGCATTTTTTTCCTCATGCAAAAATATACCACGCGCTCAAGAAGCGATAAATAAGTCATCTCCTACTCACACGCCATCAAACCCAAGGACTCCCTCTCCACCACCCCTGCACTATTTACAATGCACACTGATTGTTCAACGTACACTGACACTGGCAATACTTTCCCAGAAACATCGGTTTTTTCTCATGCAGTCATCAGATGTGACTTCATGAATACACATGAAGTAAATACAGCTGTTTAAATGTGAGAAAAACACATTTTCCAAGATCAATAACATGGAAACAGAGTGAGACTCTGCTATTTACCATCCTTCCCATCGGCCGCGTGCAAATTACGTGAGCGTGGGGGGCTGCACTGTGATTTTATCCCTTCCAGAACTGCGCTGAAGCTCTCAAGGAAGCAACTCCAGGCAAAAGATCATGCATGAAAGCAAAGTATTTGGAAGGGAAAAAAACATGAGACTCTAACTATTACATATGATTTATTATGTAGTATTTTTTATATGATGCATTTGGGAACATATAGAACTGTGTTAAGTATTTGTAGTTTATACGAGTCGAGGGATTTTCATGATTATTCAGTCATTCATTACCTTTTATTGCTCTGCTTTAGTGACAACACAGAAGACTAACACCCATAAAGGAAAGGCTGGTAACGCAGGTCACTGGTATGATTCCTCTATGAGACTAGACTTACTGTATGCTCCAGTGCCTACGGGGCACTGGAAAACTGTCTGCTGGAGGACTGGTGCTTCTGCTGGGAGCAAAGGCAAGCAGCCCCTCTGGCAGCATGGCGAGGCAGGAGTGCTGTGGAGGAGGTTCACAGCCAAGTTACGATAAAGGGAGCATGACACGGCTGCAGCTGAGCAAACTGCCAAAACATCAGAAGTTATAAAGCAAATTAAATCCATAAAGTCATCTTTTTCCAGGTGTCGTTACCTTCCACTGAACTTTATACTTCGCAGTTGTTTTAGTGCCCCAATTTAGCATTGCGTCCACACACGTCGTTTTTGAAGAACGGTCAAGAATAATTTTACACAAAACGGAAGAGTTCGCCTCTAAACAGCCTATCACAAGTACCAAAACAACTCCACGTATGTACGTGTGGTCTTATTTGGAGTCACATCTCACGCGCCAATTCTTAAGAAAACATTTACCAGCTCTCAAGTGAGCTGAGGGAAACTCCAGTATTTACAGGACAACTTCAATGCCAATATCTTTAAGGTCGGGCTCTCGGTCACCAGAGGCTGAGGCAGCTGAAGGCAGGGTGGTGTGGGAGCGCCTGAGCCAACAGCAGGAACCGAAGGCAACCTCGCCTGGAGCGAGGAAGCGGGAGATGTTGGGCAACCTCGACACCTCTGAATTCAGGGATTTCATTTTGAAAGCTGTCCCAGAAACAAAGCACTCCAGCTCAGCTCTACAATACTGTCAAAAGCCTTCCAGAAGTTCGTGACTGTGTATTGATTAGTGCTGCAGAAGGCTTCTCTGAAAAGCAAGCATGGGCATAACCTGAAAGGATCGACAGCCTCAACAGAGAGAGACCGGTGCCGTTGGTAATTGCCCGTCACCATCCTCCACCCTTCTT